CTACCGTATTGACCTCGCTATCGCTCGGTCAATACGGCAAGGCCTCAGTTTGAGATTTTCCCGTAACGACCTCACTCTCGGTTATTAAGTAGTTAATAGTGCTGTACTACATGTGCATGCAGTCAGAAATAATCTTGAACTTTTAATTAGAGTTCTATATACTGTGGATGATGATATTAATTTTGTTATTTAACTCTTCAGGAGTTGGAAGTGCTTCAAAGTGGATTAGAAAAGAAAGCATCCATCTCTTCCAACAATGCTAAGTTTATTGGCCTTCAGGTCAGTTAGTTAGTGTCTTTGAGTTTGATTGTTATTTTGCCTGACAGTTTTTCCTTTCTCAGATAGTCGGTGATCTGTGCATAAGAAGGCATAAGGAAGAGCTTGGAGCTAAGAACATCTTCATACCCATACGTCAGTCTAACTCTTAACTTTGTTAAATTCTAGGAGAGTTACTGGAAGTTGGTTGAACAAGAGTTTCCCCGCTGGATAGCAAGAAATAAAGACAGCAGCAAAACAGAATGAGGAAGAGAAGTCAGTAAATTCTAATAAATGAAGTTTATCTACTCAGTTATAGACTGTATTTTCACTGACTTCGCTGCAGCTGCCATCAAAAGTACGCAGCCGGTGGAAGTTAAAACAACGCCTTGACAGAGAAGTGTCTGCCTGTATGGGTAGGTCAATTATTCAATCACCTCAGTGAGAATTACATTTCAAACAGTGGTGTAATGAGCTGCAAACAGAAACCAGACAACTGTCCTGGACTGTTCCTCACACATGCCACATAACTGGAATGCCTGACAGATTACCGTAACTAGAAAAACATTCCTGAATTTTGGCCAAATTTGGGTGTGGTAACTTTTTTGGTTCGCTTCCGAAGAGTACCAGAAAGGTTCAATTAGGTAGAAGCGGCAAACAGGATGGATGAGCTAATGAGCAAATGAAAAAGAGAGTGTCAAATTAAATCAAGCAATCAAATGGTGTTATAGCCCGCCATAAACCCTGGTAGGACAAGTGCGAGAGGAGTATTCACGAGATTGGTCCAGATGTCAGTTTCCTCAGCTTTATGGACTGGTGGTCAGACGAACTGAGAGTTCATATCTGCTTGTTAAACCGTGAATTTAAACTGTTTCGACTCTATAGGAAATGGAGTTTTGAACGTATTCGGAGGCACAACTAGGAGCTATCAGCCCATGCTTCAGTCTTGGAAGAAGATCTATTGCCGTAGACAATCAACTCTTCAGCTAAAGAGCGAGGGAGCATGCTATGATAACCCTTGTAAAAAAGTTTAATTAAAGAACATTTGTACAGATGTGTTAAAGTGTTCCACTTAACGGTAGCTAAAACGTCAACCGTTGGCATGTCCGGTGAAAATCCAAAAATAATTCTAGCAGCACGGCAGTGTTGTCTTTCCAATGCTTTTAATAACTCTGTCTGATTAACCCCACCCCAGGGCATCGCGTACGGAATGGATGGCTGGATAACCTTTACGTAAAAAGACTCACTCACATGACTGGGTAGAAACTTGTATTTCTTCAGAAGGCTTAATTTATTTGCAAAGTTTTTAATAACTTCTTTCAGATGAGGTATTCTGCTCTGGTTTTGACCCAAGGTAACAACCAGAAGCCTGGCCGTAGCCTTGTATTCAATAATGGACGTGCCAATATAAATGGAAGGCAGCGGACCAATAAGCCGAGCTTTGGAAAGTAACATTACCTTGCATTTGCCAGGATGTGAAGTAAGGCAGTTGTTAACACACTAGGTGAAAAGTTCTTCAAGGGTACAGTTTAGTAAATTACAAGTGAAGTCTTGCGAGGAGCCTATACAGAAAACCGTAGTGTCATCATGATCAGCGTACATAAACGTATCTCCAGATTTAATACATGACGGTAAATCTTTCGTAAACAACGTAAACAAAATAGGACCCATCACCGAGCCCTGTGCTACTCCACGCCTGACGTACATTTTCGAAGATTTTTTTTCCTTTTATCATCGTAAACCGCTTTCGATCCGAAATTTAACTATCCAACCAGGCGTAGAGGTGAATGAGCGTTAATTAATGGCTAAACGCTCATGCATACAGCTGCCAGCCATGTTTTGTCATCAAGCTTTATTTCCAATCTCTTCTATTTTGAAAGCATATAGCTGCAGTCTTGGTCACGTTTTTGTACACATGAGAACTTGCGTACTGCACTGCTAATGTGGCCACAGGCACCTTAAGCTCAAGTTCATCTTGCGTAATGGCGATCGTGGCAAAATTAGAACACTTGATATTAAAATAAATGTTATTTAACTAGCGTGATGTCCGTATTGGAGAAATATTGGTCGAAGATTTTTTTTTTAGCAGGTTTATGGACCGAGGAGCAGGCGAGGTCTATAAACTTGCAAAAAAAAAAAAAAAAANAACCACCAATTTCGTTGTCTCCCGCAATAATAATCATGATATCGACCAAACGCGTTCGATTTTGGACGTTTATAGACCTCTTTGTTTCCGTCCATAAACTTGCAAAAAAAAAAAAAAAGAACGAGGAGAAAGACAAAATAAAAAAGGAAAGCTTCTATTTCTGTTTCTCATGTCGCTTTTGTGAACATTAAACTGAAATTGCTCTCCAAACATGAAGCTTAAGAGATTCCTACTCACCAATGAACTGTTGTTTTTTGAATCGAAAAAGTAGTTCGCCGAAATTAATTCTTGAGCGGTGTAACTTCGCGGTCTATATTGTAAAATTCGGACCGCTAAGAGAACCAATCAGAGTTCTCCTTTTCATCTCGGACCAGTTCAGCCGTATAACAAGTATAGCAATATGTACGGTCGGTTTTAGGAGGTAGAAATACAAGAAAGCTCTTGATAAAAATGCCTTGTACTTCCACAGTGTATTGCTTGTTGTCTGTTCGCGTTTTCTGCTGATTTGAATCGATTCTAACGAGTTATGGCTTCCTAGGTTTCCTACTCATAGTAGTTTCTTGTATTCTATAGTTCGCTGTTTCATTTTCAAAATTGTGAAACAGGCTAGTAAGTAAGTAACAACTTTATTTTTCGAGTGTAGCACATGACAGTAAAAACTGATAAACCAGTGGCCCTCGATCTAAATTACACAATACTATGATAAATATTAAAGATTAAGAGCAAATTAAAGATTAAAAAGACTAGAAAATAAGAAAAAAGTATATACATTAAAATTTAGGATAAAAAAGACGTTTATACACGTTGAAGCTAGGCTAAAAAATATTTTTTAAAAGCAGTTTTAAACGCGTTAACGCTGTCTCTCTTTCGTACATCGAGTGGAATCGCATTCCAAAGCTTAACCCCACGAACTTGAAAAGTACGGTCCCCTTCAGTTTCCCTGTTATAACATGGCCACACCAGATTAAACATTCCATAGCGGCTAGATCTGCTCACACTCCTGGTATCTGCATTCCTAGGTAATAGGTTCGTTATATAGCTTGGACAGTCTTGTTCGTTTTCTATGCGCCTAAATATTAAACTACACTTTTAAAGATTTACTTCATCCTTCAGTGGCAGCCAGTCAAGCCGTCTAAAAAGCTCCGCACTTCTTTCACTAAAATCTGCGTCAAGAATAACACGAGCTGTACGCTTTTACTGTTTAAAAACACGTTTGACGTTCTCTTCCGTCGCCTTGGTCCATACACGAGATCCATACAACATAAATTAGGATAGGTAATCATACGGTTCCAAGTTCAATTTGGAATTAATTTGCACGAGTGAGCTTTTTGAAAAACTCACAAGTGCAAATTAATTCCAAATTGAACGAGAAAAACCGTGTGATTACTTATTAATAATATAAACATAAAACAATTCGCGTGAAGGAAGTGCCGGAAGATCTCTCTAGAAGCCATCTTTACTCATGCATTCGAGAAAACTTTTTTCAAAGTTTTTACGTGATATCACTGGCTTAGAAAATTTCCTATTGTCTTTCAGCCAATCATAATCCACAATTTCGATGTGTAATTTGCACTGGTGTTACAGTCTTTGCACTGGTGTTACACTTTTTGCACTGGTGTTACACTTGAACTGCATTGCTCTCAGCCAATCAGAATCGAGTAATTTTTTCATGTATATTATTATAGGCTTAATCAAAGCATCAAAATACAGCTTGCGCTCTGCAAGGGTTTTGTGACACTATTTTGCAACGGCTTCAGCATGACGTTATTTTCCGCCACTTCTGTGTTATAGAATAGTTTAATTTCTGTCATTTATTTGTTCTATATAAACATTCCAAATATACAATCTCATGATGACTCGAGGACGCAATCAAACAATTGAAAATCATTTCACGTCCCCAACAATACAAAAGGAGAACAAAAACAATTATCATAAACACCTCTAATTTATTCTGGCAGTGTAAATATTTTACTATAGAGAAATCCTGTTTACTACGAAGCACATTTCTCTGCCAAATCGCGAATTGACGAAGCAAACTGTAATCAACAGGAAATACACCTCATTGCATTAGAGTAAATTTTCTCCTGTTTTGAAAACAGTGCGAAAAAGGCGCGAAATACTAATACTGTTTTAGGGGAAGCCGATAATAAGTATCTTTTCCCGAAATTTGAATTCTGAAAATCTTAACTAGCAGATATCTTTTTAATTATCGAATTATTATTGCTGGGAAAGCAAAGCTGGCGAGGAATCATTCGTATTATTTTGGCCGGAAACTCTGATTTGTGCTACAGACAGCACCTCTTTTGACAGGTATTTGTGAAGACCAAGTAGTGTGTTTTTTCCTCGTATTTCTCCAGACGTGCAAGATCTTATTTTCTTTCCAACTTAGCATTTAATTAACTGGTACGAAGATGATAATTACCGGGTGAAAAAATTAACCGGGAGTGATGATTAGAGGAAGTTAGCGCCTGACTTGAGTACGACGATTCGATTGGCTAAGAAACAATTACAATATTGACTGACCAATGAGCTGACGTGCACGAGAATCCACAGATTCCACGTGCATGGAGCTTCCAAACCGAAATGATACAAATAGTGCGGCCATGAGAGTCGAGAATGAAGAGGTTTGCCAGTTCCCGACGCTTTCACTTTCAGCCATGAGTAAGGAGGTGAGCTTGAATCTTCAGTTAATTTTTCTCTGTAGTTGAATTTTGGTGACAGCTAAGGCAAGCGACTGGTAGCTATTTTTCAAGAGTTGCCTCGGTATTTGCCAACGGGCCAGGTGCGGAAGGAAAGAATTCTTTCCGGCTAAAAGGCTGCCGTCGATGTAGTTGTTTTTCTGACTCTAATGAAACGCAAAACGCCAACGTAATATTTTCAGCACTAAATCACAGTCACAATCTTACCTTCATCTCAAATTTAAAGTGCAAGAGATAATAAACGTCGATTGAGTAATGTTTTGAAGTTGTTTTGTACACGTTGGTCGAGATAAATAAATTCACAAAGGTAACAATCGCTGTGGGTCAGACATTGAGGTCATCAATTGTGCTCCACTGTTTTTAAGAATTTTTCTACTCTCGCTCAATGCACTGTGGTCATTTATTTCCCTGATATTGTAGAATGCACCAGAGGATAAGACTTCCATCCTGACCCGAATCAATGCCTTGCTGGACTCAGCCCTGGATCCTAGTAAGTAAACTTTCCGATGCTCATTTGAGAAAGTACAAAACTGAAAAATTTACTCAAATCGTCATGTAATTAACGGAAAGGCATGACGCAAAATGTGTCGTTTTGTTCCTTTGATGTTTTGTTGCAGACTCAGCTGGGCGAAGTCTGTTTCCACCTCAACCAATTCAGCAGCCATCCTGTGGGTCTTTCATCGGTTATCCTGGTTTTCAGCCCACACCGCCAGACTCGAGATCTCCAAGCCCATTGCTTATAGACGAAAGGGCTGGCGAACATTTTATGGTAAACGTGTATTGATTAGTATTTAGTGCTGATTGAAGCCGTTTGGAGAAGCTGATCGTGGTCAATTGCGCCCTGTTTCTGACCGCATCTGCTTGATTGCTTGCCATGTTTGTAGTAGTTGTGAAAAAGTCGATTTATGTAGGGGAGTAGAATCGTAATTGTGGCGATGTCAGCAGATAATTTCCATAGTTATTACCGCTGCCGTTGACTTTGTCACTCGTGGGTTTGTGTCAAAGACTACGCCTGTCATCACTCTGAAAATGCTGTTAAATTTGATATTACAAGAACTTACTTTGATAAAAATTTTGCTGGTGCAGCAATGGACCTATTGGTTGATCTGATAATCAATGCAAAAAAAAAATTACAGGCAGACATGATAGACTTGTAGTACAGATTTCGGTTGAAGTAGTTAGTCATTGCAAGTCTGGGGAGGGTAACTTAGAAAACTCAGAACAGGATTACTTTATATTTTTTGGTGTATGTTTTAGTGATAGTGAAATAATTCTGCTGAGCCATGTCTCTTAGCATTATATGCTAACCCGCCCCCACAGACATAAAGTGTTTACAACTGTATTGTTAACCTTCTAAAGTACATCAAACTTTGTTAACTTCCCAAAGTTCCTTTAAGAACAATCTGGTATGGCTTGTCATTTTAACAGAACTTGTTGCTTCCATGGTCCTATGATATTTTGACAAGCATGTGTCTTGCCAATTTATTTTTTCATATTGTGTAGTTCCAGAAAATATCCATAACCCCCACCACGGAGGGAATTTCACTCAAGCCTGCCCCCCTCCTCCCCGGAATTTCCATTTTTTGACTACAAAAATAACTCCCCCACCCACCACCCACCCTCCGGAATTTCCACTACTATTTGTACACCCCCAATACCCTCTAGAAAAATAGTTTTGGCAAGAAAGTGTGTTAAAGTTAAAGTAAACACTCCAAACATGTATTCCTCTGCATTGCACGTCACTGTTAATATTCACGATCAATCATAACATCTGAAAATACTCACAAAGAAAACATTCAGCAGTTTAGTGAAACATGCTTTAAAAGAAAAGATAAAATGGTAACTTGTCAAATTACCTTCCTGTTTGACTAAGTCCCTTTGTAAATGTTGTATAATTTCTGTTGAGGGACTGATAAAATAAGTGTGGATGAAATTGACACCATACTTTTATCGTGAACACAACCATTAACACACTCGGAATGAAAGCCAATTTTACAGCAAAATTACATACAAAGGGACAGAGATAAACAAGAATAGGAAATTCTCAAGTTTGTGGAATCATAACATTTCTACCTTTATAAAGAGACTTATTTTCACAAAAGAAATTGACTGCCACTTCGAAGACCGACACTAAAACAAACTAGGCTAGTCACCAGTGCTTTAACAATAAGTAATGGCAGCCATTTCCACGCAACTGCACATTCTTCGCATTTGTTAGCTTCCAAATTGTTTTTTGAAGAAAGAAAATGTATTTCAGATATAATGCGATTAAAATACCAGTATTCAAGCCACTATTTTTTCATGTGAAAGTTGTACTTATTAGATAAGAAAGGATTTTTGAACAGCTAGATCGACACTTGGATCCGTATTGAATGGAAGGACCTCTGGAAACTAAAGCGATCTCCAACCCCCTCCCCTCTGGAATTTCCAGGGTCTTTGACCCCCACCCTTTCGGAATTTCTGATTCCCTCCGTGGTGTGGTTATGGATATTTTCTGTAACCAGAAAATAGGTCTTTTTGGANCCCCCCCTGGAAGTTCCTGGGAGTTTGACCGTATTTTTCACTTTTGTGTGTTTCTGGCAAATCTCTTTTCAGTTGACATTTGAGTTAATGTGGTCTCCAGTAAGAATAGCGGCCTAACTTTAATGCCTTTTGTGTTCATATGCATGTGACATCAGGACACTTTCAGTTCCTCTTGCCTGCTGGATACACTGACCGTTATAAAGGTGGACTTTCCCCAGTATCCCAAACATCCTGCTCATGCATGCATGCTTAGTATGGTCAAAATCCATACATGAAGTGGTCCTAGACTAAGTAACAAGTCAGGACTTTTGTCTTTATTTCAGGGTAATTTCATGACTGGCAGTACTCCTTTTGGAATGCATACGCCACCAGACAGTCTTCCGTCTTCTCCACTTGGTGCATTTTCACCATTTGGAGCATTTCCTTTCTCGCCTCTTTCTCCTGTGGAGTCGGATTCCAGTATTAGTCCCTTGAGGCATTCATACCGCAGCCCTATGTTCCCCCGTTGTCAGCCAAGACAAATTGGGTTACCTCCTGCAGCACTTCAGCCAGCTGAGATACCATCAATGGGTAGCCTGTTTACTGATCCTCGGTGGACTGGTGTTAATCCTTTGTTTGGAATGTGGACTGATCCTTTAGGTGTTGATTATATGCAGCAAACTGGGCTTGCACAATTGTTACCAGGTAAAAAAAAAAAAACAGGTAATTGCTCTGAGTTATCTTTCTTTTGTTTTCATATGGCAGTAGCTAAACTTTGCCAATAACATGATTAAAGTTTGTGGTCACGTAAAGTGCTAGTTACAATGCACCAGGAATAGGAGTTCAAGAACATGTGGTAAACTGAAGTTATAAGCTGAAACTGTAACATGATTCTGAGCCTGACTGCCCAAAATTGCAAATTTTCTTTGATTGCTTTGTCTGATAAATACCATAGGACACCTTGATACAAAGAAAACAAGACCAAATATAGAACTCTGTCAACAAGCCTCGGTGTCATGTTAATCTCATACTGATTCACTTTTCCTTATTTGAAAATGGCAAGTTACTGACTACAGTAAGGTGAATATGAAAAAGTGGTCAGGACAACTACCTCGCCGTAACTATAAGAATCCAAGCTACTCAACCAAAGTTTTCCTCGGAGGTGTTCCTTGGGATATTACAGAAGGTAATTAAACTTTATTAATAGTACTTTGTAATAGTTGTGATATTGTTTGGCATGTTAGAGCTCCATTTTCTTATTCGCGATTTGCCAAAATAAAAGTCATTTAACACAGACTCAAACTCTTAGCATCTCTAGTGATGTCCTTTAAACCTTTTGGTTCAGTCAAAGTGGAGTGGCCTGGGAAGGCTGATGGTCGACATCTGCACCACCCTCCTAAAGGTGAGGTCTTTCTGTCTTTAATAATGTCTTTATCAAATTAATTCCATACTTAAGGGAAATGCTATGTAAATTCTGATTTTCACACTTATCAGATGACATCGTTGACAGCTATGTTGACAGACTTAAATTTAGGGTGGCAGAGACTTGTCGAACAAATGTAACAAGTGGTCTTTCTTCCTTCTCTTCCGCCAATTCCCGATTGCTTGTTAAGAAGTTTGAGCCATCTTGTATAGCTTTTCTATTCACATTGGACCCAAGATTCTAATTTTTCTTCTATGATTAACATTTCAGGTTATGTTTATCTGATCTTTGATTCTGAGAAATCAGTCAAAGCCTTATTAGCTTCCTGCACTCATGATTTCTGCAATGGTGGAGATTGGTACTTTAAGATCTCTAGCAGACGTATGAGATGTAAAGAGGTAACTATGGCTTATTAATGATTAACCCATTGACTCCCAGAGCTTTTTGCCAAAAACGCATTTTTTGGACATTTTGGAGATTTTCTGGCTGGATATGGGCCAAATTAGCTCCAATCTACTCAAAAAGGCTGTTGCAACATGACCGCATTGTTTTCTATGCACTAGCATCGTGTTTTACAACATTTTTGCTCAGGCATGCAAAAAAATCCAAATTTTGAGTTTGAGTTTTTGGGCTAGGAAGTGACCTATGTCTTTAGGCATTTCCTTTCTTTAATTTTTTTTTTTTTTCGTCTTTCCTTTTTCCCCTTTTCTTATCTTTTTGCTGCAGTGATTGACCTTCTACTGGGCTCTCTTCCAGTTCAAAAAATTCTGAGAGAGTATCATTGAGATGGGCAATTTTTACCACAGAGTAGCCACATGTAGTTGCAGGAAATTTTGCTCTGAGTTTTTCACTCCAATTTCTGTGCATTTTTGTGCATACTTCAGGCTCCATTGGGCCAATCACTCTGATCTGGGTATCATCAGAAAGATCTTTTTGTCCTGCAGAAGTTGAGTATAAATGATGGCAATTTTTGGTCAAAGGTGATGACGTCAGAAGTGGAATAAAGGCCAAGGCTCGTCACGGCCGGTGATGGGCAGCACAGGAGTCAATGGGTTAAAAAGTGGTTCGAATTGATCACAGCACTATCAGTCACGTACTTCTTGTTAGAGTTGCTCATTAGCAAGGCATTTTGATTTAAATTGTCAATCAGTGAACAATGGTGTATCGCTTATTGTTACCATGCCATGTAATCATTAATCAATTTGCTTGTGGGTGCAGGTACAGGTGATTCCGTGGGTTCTGTCTGATACAAACTATGTGCGTGGTCCTCATCAAAGACTGGACACCAGCTGGACTGTGTTTGTAGGTGGATTACATGGTATGCTAAATGCAGGTATGTCACATGAGTATAGATGAAATTTGAAAATTTGAAGTTCTCTCTCAAAAAGGTGTTTTCATGCAAAAGGGGTGGGGTATACAGTGCATGTGGGTACTCTGTTGGACTTCAATTGCACTGGCCTGCTGGAGGTGCTGACCTAGGTCGGTTTTTTTCTTGAGCAAGACTCTTGGCACAACCTGCCTAGGACTAGCATAGCCTGCAGTAAGTTAGAGTACCAGTTCTAGCTTGTGCTTAAGTTAACTGTTGTAAGTTCTGCATGTAACTCTTGTCCAAAGTTACTGTAGTCTGTAGCTTGTACATATAAGTTAAGATGGCTACATACTCAGTTGATAATAATGCCATGTGAGTTTGGTAGAAAAATTGCCAGTCAAAAGTTAAGAACAATATATGGGTGGTGAGCTATTTGGTGAGCAGACCTAAGATGATGAGGACCATGTGTACTAAAGGCATCAGTGGCGAACTGTCGATCAATAATCTCAATCAATACCCTTGATCGACATCTCCATCAATACTGGATCGACATCCCGATTGATACTCAATCAACACTTGATTGAAGGTCAATCAAGGGTATCGATTGAGGATATCGATCGACATGTGACTGCAGATGCCTTTAGTACACATGATCCGTTGTTTAAGCATCCAGACAATAAACAATGCAGAGAGACAATCCTTTCTTTCAACAGTAACAGAGAGCTTTATTTTCCTCAGCACATATGACATGTTAAACTATTAAATCAGATGACATTTTGTATGTATTCATAGCATGGGTTTTTGATATTTCAGAGGGTCTGGCTTATATTATGAATGAGCTTTTTGGTGGAGTTGTCTATGCTGGCATTGACACTGATAAACATCGCTACCCTATAGGTAAGTTAATTTATATATTTGTGCCATCAAGCAGACACCACAAAACAGTCTCAATTTTAATGTTTTCATTGCAGGTTCTGGTCGCATTACATTTAACAACCAGAAGAGCTTTCTCGATGCTGTCCGTTCAGGATTCATTGAAATAGAAACACCAAAATTTGTTAAAAAGGTGAGTAACTTGTAACCTTTTATGACAGAGTACCGGTAATGTCTCTTCTGTAAGAGACACGATGAAGACAGCTGGTGCATATATTAAACTATTTAATATTTCAGTGTTTTCAAATTGAAATAAAGTAGCAGGAGGAAATCGTACAGTAGGTGGCACACATCTGGCTCACAATAATTAAGGGCGGCCATGTGGGGAAAAGTCTGGAAGTGGGTTACCCATTCCTGTGTGAGGGAGATGTGGTGCTCACCCAGGAAAATTTTGAAAATCTGTTTGCATTGAGATGCTTTTATTTAAAACTTGCTGAATGCAAGAGTAGTCTCTTTGGAAGTTCACGTATAAGATGCGACATAATTCTAGTCATTCCTGTGGCATTTGAAACTTTTTTTCCAGTGATATATTTCCTGCCACATACATGAAGTATCAGTAGAAACTCAGCGATCTCATTTCGTTTCTGCTTCGAATTTGTGGGGTTTTTTTGCCTTAAATTCCGAACACTAGCGTTGATGAAGAGTTTTATTACTCAGGCTTCCATAGGAAAGCCCAAGTCAGAAAACGCAAACCGTTGTTGGTCGCCAAAAGGGGGGTCATGGGCCCAGGCATTCCATGCGTAGGCTGCAGAAACTGGGGACGAGAACGCGACAGTCACAGATTGCGGTGTTTTGCGAAGAAGGTTTTGGCAAGAATCCCGCTTTATACGTTCATCTCACATACAAAGATGTCGATCGTTTTCGGATAGGGTCGGTTCTCGAATTATATCGCTAGAAACCAGCCAGGTAAGCAAAGGTCATGCTTGAAATGTTCTTGTGAGATATCAACTGGGCCGATCGCGGTATGAGTTCAAACTAGGAAAGCACAGACAAAAAGTAGGCAGTCAATGACTGCATGTAGCTACTGCTGTTATTATTTAGAACATTGCATTGAAACCATATTGCAATAAAACAAGCTAAGTATGAAAACGTTTTTGGACTCGTAGCTTATTGAAAACCTGCGACTTGTTTCTTGCACTGCGCAAAATATGTCGATCTCCAAATTTGTAAAGATAACACTTTCGGTAATTTGGATTAAATATCTTGCCTCTAAGGTAGTTGGCTTTTCTGGTATGGTGCAGGAAAAATATTGTATGATTTTGGAGACAAATTGTACGGGAAAATTAAAAATTCGATTGTGCAAGGAATAGGCCCTTTGCAGCTGGGGTCACGTGACAAAATTTTTCCTAGAAAATTTTTGTATTGTGGGCTATAACTTAAAGAATGGCAGAAATGGAAAGAGCGCTTCGAAAATACTAAAATGGCCAAGTTTGAGGACCCTGGAATTAAAGAGTAAGTTTATACGACAGTTTGAATTTTAGGAAAATTTAGAAGATTTGTATGGAAAATGTTGCTGGAGAGCAAGGCCTTGCTCTCCAACAACTTTTTCCATACAAATCTTCTTATTCTTTTAAAAATTCAGACCGTTATGAAATCTCATTCTTTAATGATGGGGGTCTCAAACTTGGCCATTTTTATATTTCCGACATGCTTTTTCCATTTCTGGCATTCGTTAAGTTATAGCCCATAATTTTATGAAAAATAGGTCACGTGATGGCTTAGCTGCAAAGGGCCTATCGTGTGGGACTACTGACGCGCCAGTATTTTTGGAAAGTCCTAGGGAAAATCTGCATTGACGATAGTTTAGCCAAATTTACTTTACCAGTAGTTCAAATATACTTAGCAGTCTTGGCAATCGCCAATTCTTTTAGAAAACTGTGTCTGACTGCTAAAGAAAATCATGTTGCGTGACATGAACTAGACGAGTAGGAAACGAAAATGAATAGCAGACAGAATGTCGCATCTTCCCTTTTAAAAGTTCCTTTTTAAAACTACTCTCTTGATTCAGTAAAAATATGTAGCTTGAATATTTCTTCAGAAACTGCGTTGAGGGTAGCAAATTCTCGGAAGTTACTCGCAAAAAACAGAACTTGAAAGTTTATGCAAATTATGTGCCATTTAATTTAACGCCTTGTCGTTAGACTGTTTTTTATGCCAGGAGTTTATCATGATTTGTTTTGGCTCTCTCGAAAGAGATTATTCGCCCTCTAAAGGAGACATGACTCTGGAAAGGGTTTAAGAATGCAACACGGCAAAGATGTTCAGCTGCACGATTCACTTGGATTGCCACACTGTGTGTACAATGTAATCGTCCTAAGTTGTAAAAGACCTAGGCCTGGAAAATTCTTTGCGAACAAGTTCTCCATAAATGCGTAGACAGCTGTGCTTGATTCTTGAACCAAAATGGTTTAAACTCACAACTTGCGATTGGATTAGGAGGACAGTCAACGAAGCAACTTGAGTACCAGTAGTAAATATCTTAGCGAAAAATACCCTGATTCTTTTATGTTTTTATTGTGTTCAATACGCATGCTCGTAAAGTACGATTTGATACTGTGGTACGAAGCCAGAGTAAACGCTCTTAGAGCATCTAGTTGTTAAGAAACCTTTCAAACCGTTGCTTACAAGACATTTGGAGCACTTCTAATCTTAATGAGTAACATTTCATGACTCAGACTGCCTTCGTATTCAACACGTGGACGCGCAGAGGCTAGGTCAGTTTGTTAATTGTTTTATCGTCGCTTTGAAGACTTGAACAGCACATGATATTTCTTTGTAACCTGTCTGTTATCTGTTTGCCTTTGTGACTTTTCAATAGTAAGGTAATGAAAGACGCTCTAGTCTGTTGTCTCTGCGCAAATTTGATTCATGTACTACGCAACGCCTGCCAAAATTGATCTCGCTTCGGAATTCAAAAGGCGCATATTATAGCCACACTGTTACGTTTTCACCTGTTCATTTATTATCTCAGAAAAGGCAGATCATGATTACGTAGGTGAATTAATACAGCGTATTAATTAACTTTGTGAAAAAAAGTAGCCGGTGCAAATGCTTGAAGCAGCCAGTGACTTGTGTCAGGTGCCGGCTAATTTTGAAAACCCTGTATTTCCAAGTTTTTGAATCAGTCTTGGCTTGATCAGACCAGGGGGTGAGGGTGAATGTTTAACTTCATATGAGGAGTCTCTCCCTCCAGGCTAAAGGCATCTATCTTAGACAGAAAAGGTAACCCATTCATATATCTTGTGTAGAAAATGATTAGCTGGTGCTCCACTCGATATACACAGCAGCCCTTAGACTAGACATATTAGATGATTTGTTGGCTGTAAAGTGGGTTTGTTCAGGATATTTTAAATGGACTTTTAAATGCGTAAATTTATTATTGGTAGTTTTCCTTACGTTTTCCTCTCTTCAGCTCCTATAATTTTTATATTCTCCAACTTGATAAGAGGTACAGCCTCGCTGTACTAGAGAGTATCCCAGGGGAAGAAGGCCTTGTAACTTTTACTTGTACAATGTGATTTATAAATTAAAAACTACTTATACTATGTGGAGCAAATTGCTTGTGTCATAAAATTGTGTGTTGTAGATCATTATCTGATACATGGCTACATTTCTGGATTGTATTTAATCAGTGTTACTCATGACTTGTTTAGGTCCAAGTTGACCCATATTTAGAGGACTCCATGTGTGACATTTGCCATACTACCTCTGGACCTTTCTTCTGCCGTGAAGAGTCCTGTTTCAAGTATTACTGTCATTCATGTTGGTTGTGGCATCACTCAATTGAGGGTTATCGTCAGCACAGGTAGTAAGGCCATCTTCAGTTAAAAGTTCTATTTCCACAGGTGGCTTGTTGCTTTTTTGCCTCCAAAGTTTCGCATGTTTCATTTCATAGGCTTTTCCTAAAAATACCATAATACTCCTCAATGTATAAATTTCTAAGCCTAAGCAGGGCTTGACTTTCGGGAAAAAACCTTGGGGTCAGCTGGCTCCTAAGTTTTCAGATTTGGTCACCAGCACAAGTATTTTAGTCAGCAAAAATTTTAGGCCCTTCAAGCGGTTTATATATTTCCATGAAAACGTGCTGAAATGGCGCAAATCGTGTGTTATTCATGTATAACCAGTTTGTCATTTTTTGTGAGGTCATCCCCTTTTTTTTTCATTTGGCGTCGAATGCGTTTCCTGATACTGGGTCACTTGTTCGAAACAAAACCTTTAAAAAAACCACAGGAGGTCTCTGAATAGGAGGCCTGGTACCCCAGTATCATTGCTGTGGAGCCTGGAAACAACAAGACATTAACCCATAATCAATAAGGCAGAAAAGTCGGTTGATGTTGATGAAGTTGTTGTTGGTTAATTCATACTGCAAAAAATGTTCCTGTTTTTGTTCCTGTTTTTCTCTATGCTGTTGCAATGCTCATTTTTCAGATTAAAAGAGTTATTTAAAGTGAAAAATGGTTTAACTACATCTTTACTTTTTTTTGAAAATGCCAAAAATTTGGGTCGGTTAGACGACGCTAAACGAAAGAAAAAAAGAGGATGGCCTGAAGTTACAGGGAAAATGGCTAAATTAAATTCTTTGCTTTTATTTGGTGAAAAAGCCTCCATAGAATGTTGTTCATAAAATATTTCAAAGTGTACTTCACAAGAAGAACACCGTCCGTTTCAAAGGCTGCATATGTGAAAACTGAAAGTATAGTTTGGTATTCAACATTCATTCTACTCATAAAAAGATGAGTATGAAGATTTAAAAGAATAATTAATACAGTGGAACCCCGCCTTACGGCCACCCCGTTAATACGGTCGCCTTGTTATTACGGCCACTTAATTCTGGCCCGGCAAAAAGCTCAGTCAATCATTGTCTCATTTACAGAACCCCTTAATACGGCCTCCCTGTTAATACGGCCAGATTTTTGTAGCCCCTTGGTGACCGGATTAACGGGGTTCCACTGTATACCTTGGGGGCCAGCCTGGGAACCAAGTGTAAAGAGTTAGTCACCAGTGAAAAAAATCTGGTCGAATTGGCGACGCCAGTGGACACAAGATCGAGCTCTGCCCCCTTCCGTCTTCCCCTCCGCCTATCAACCTCCCAATCCCCAGGATTAACCATGGCACTTTTTTATCCTGGGCTACTAAAAAAAATGGCTTGGGTTCCTGAAAAATGTCCTTTAAGGCAACAGCCTTGATCCATGACTTGCTCCTGTTTCAGGCCTGATAGTACAGACAGCACTATCAGATGGGTTGTAGATTTGAATCCGACCCAACTCGAGAGGATTTTTTTCTTTGTCCTATGTGAGCTGTCAGTCCTTTTATGCTGACAGAAGGAAATTGGTGATTATTATCAGCATGTACTTGTCTACAAATTTCCTCCAAGTTATTTCTTTATTATACTCATGCTGTATGGCACATTACTTTGCTATATTTGCTCCCTCTATTTTAAAGTAACTACGATCTGTTACAGGCCTTTGACTCGTACAAGCAAGAGTGGAACAACTCAGTGATTCACTACAGCCTAGCGACACATTGTACCTGCCGCAAGCCAGCTGCTTACTAGACTTATTGCATCTGACTTGCAGAGAAAGATTGTCAGCTGTGCTTTAATATTAGTTTCTTTTTTGCTACGGGTTCAGTCATGTGATGTGAATGTTCTGATTGGTATTTTGAAGTACAGTTGTTGAAGGTTAAAGTGTTTAAGTTCTCCTACTAGTCTAGATTTCTTTCTAGTCCTCAGGCAACATCAACATGCGGTAAAATGTTTCCTTGCATTGACGTTGACCGTAAGCTATCATGTTCTGGTGTTAATATGTTGAGCTGGGGATTACAAAGTTACTCAACACCGTTTTGATTTAATTTTTGTTATGAATTTAACAAAAAAGCTAATGATTTACTTTTGCTTTGTCTATCACTTCCAGTTTTAGCATTTTCTACACATTTATACTGCGTGATTTGCAAGTTTAAACATTCATGATAGAGGTTTTTCTTTGAAAAAAGAAACTATATTAAAAAAACCTACAATTTTTGTGTCCTTGTTGAGGCATGAAAAATTCGCATTTGTCGTTTGTTTTCTAGGCTATATATGGCTGTGAGATGATCTGTTTTGTAAACTTTGATATTTGTATTTGACAACATTTTGCTACCACTGCCATGGTTTGCTTAAACTTGCTATCATTCTGTTTTTGATGGATAATCTTCGTTTTGAATTATTTTAGTTTTGTATTTGTTTTAGGTTATCTAGGGCTTTTTTGATTGTTACGATGTCCACATGCTTTGAGTGGCAGTTACTGTTTATTTTTGCGCAAATAGCAAGCTACACTGCCTGAGCCTGGTGTTGTTTAATTGCATCGGAGAAAGTCTACTCCTCAAGGGCTGGGCCTCAAACAGTAGGAGTACACTCTTTTTATGTCTATTTACTAACCTCAATTTTTTTTTATACTGATTTGTGTCATTTTCACACAAACACTTGTATTTCTATCGTTAACTAATTTCTACTTATTTTTTTTACTAAACTGGAGTCTGATTTATTGGGCACCACAATTTGCGCAAAATACTTGTACATAGTTTTGCTGGAGTGTTTTCTAATTTTCAACTTTTGAATGCAAGTAATTTACTTTGTCTTGATATAGCTTCTTTTAACTATAATTATATGACAAAAGGTAAAAAAGGGAAAAAAAGAGCTGTTTTTATCCATAATTGGAAAAAAGAATTGAAAAAAGTTTAATTGTTGTAGTGAATTACACTTGACACGTTTGGATACCATTAAGTTATTGAGGTTACACTTATTTAGACAAAAAGTTTCATCCTTGTTGAGTATAGCGTGATAAAGTCGTTTTTTAACTTAGAAAACAAACGGAACAAAAAAAACGTATATGTAGAAAGTGTGAAATGTATTTATTTTTGTACCTGTTATAAAGTAGGTGAGCTTTTTATTGTTGGAGAGATGGTGGAGAGCTAATATAAGTATAATTAACTATTTATAATGTTCAAGTATGATAAGCTAAAAAGTTTTGTAAAGAGTTCTCATTGGTAAGTTATTTTTTGGGCATGTTAATGTTTTTGTTTTGAGAAATATTGATGTGCTCTTGGCAAAAGTTGTTATTGACAGGATCTTACATGCCTGTTGCATCATTGGTGTACAGATATTTAGTATATGAGAAGATTCCTTGGTAAAAACTACTAGGTTGTTTTCTCAGATTAAACTGAAAAGCCTTGTTGCATTTGTGTGGTTGTGTCTCGTTACCGGCACCCCTAATCGGCCCTTCTATTTTTCACAGCATATCATGTATGTTGTGAGGTGAAGGATTGCAGGGTGATGAATTCTTAATTATCTTTTGGCAGTCTAAGAAACCTATCTGCTGCAGAGCAGACGAGATCAATGTTTACCCCAAGTGCGAGGACCGTTTTTGAGCCTAGGAAAGCTTAAGAAACGACGACGGCGACGCCCAGTCAAAAATGAATTTATATTTTACCAGCGAAATTCGCAATGGTCTAGATCTCTTCAGTACACCAATGGCTCAAAAAACTTGCTCAGGTTAAAATTGCTATGACAATGTTCAATACCAAATGGAAATACGAGACAGCCGTTGTCGTTCGCCTTCCTCTGACTGTGCAGAACTTGGTCATTTCACGTTCTTAGGGAGTCGAAACCACGACGGCGACGCCGAGGACAACGTCGATTAAAAATGAATTTATATTTTACCTATGAACCTCGCGATACTCGATTATCACTGTTAAAACTAAATCCGGAACACGGCGATAAATTTGAAATAAAAATTTAAACAATTAGCCGTGGTTCACGTTCTCCAGACAACGCAAAATTTGGTCATTTCTCGTTATTAGGGAGTTTTAAAAGAAGCTACGCCGGCGACGCCGAGGAAAACGTCGATTAACAAGTGAATTTATATTTTACCTACGGATCTCTCGATACTCTTTGAGTCATTTGCTTTGTTTATCACTGTCAAAACTATCACGAAACTGAATGTTGGACACAAATAAATTTGGAATAGAAATTTAAAACATTGGCCGTTGTAGGTTCACGTTGTTCAGACAACGCAGAATTTGGTCATTTCACGTTGTTAGGGAGCTTAAGTAACAACGACGACGATCCCGAGGACGACGCTTAGTAAAAAATGAACTTATATTTAACAAGCGAAATTCGCGATTGTCTAGATCTGTTCAGTATGCCAGTGGTTCTAAAAACGTGCTTAAGCTAAGTATGCAACGACGGCGTTCAGTTCCAAATGGATATACCAAAAATTAGCCGTCGTCGTCCACGTTTCGTAGACGACGAAGAACTCGGTCATTTCATGTTGTTTTGCAGAGGACAGCAAAGAAATGTACAAAGATTTACAACGCACGCGCACAGCTTTTGTTTTTCTCATTAAACCTTTTGTTTGGTGACGTTCTCGTTGCCGTCATCGTCGTGGTTTGCTTAAGCTCCCTGTTGTCTTGCAGAGGACGGCAAAGCAATGTACCAAGAATTATAACGCACGTGTGCAGCCATTGTACTGCTCATTAATTCTTTTTTTCAATGCCGTTGCCGTTGCCGTCGTGGTTTCGTAAACTCCCTCGTGTTTTGGAGAGAACGGCAAAGAAACGTACAAAAAATTTATAACGCACGTGCGTAGCCATTGTACTCAGCTCATTAAACCTTTTGTTCGGCGGCGTTCTCGTTGCCGTCGTCGTCGCGGTTTGCTTGAGCTCCCACTATCTTCTGAGTTCCGTTCAAGATACGCTAAGACCTTCCAAGGCACATGATGATCAGCTGATATTCACCTTTTGATTGTAAAGGACTAAGTAAATACTGCTTAAGGCTAGATTGCAGAATACCCGGCCAATAAGTATCTAATCCTTAAAAAACTACTCGCGCAGTCGACGTGTTCTATAGCGCCTAGGACTAGATAGGTTTCTGACGCTAGAAATATGTTGGATAAACAACTTATCACCAAAAATGGTGCTCTCTTTTCATTACCGTACAAACATGAGAAGTTGATTCAGGCGGCCGTGACTTCATAAATTTCCCCATTTTATTTTAACCTCTGAATACTCTATTCTACCTTAGTGCTCATGAGCGGCTTAAAACGGCTCAAATCAGGGCTCTTAAATGTAGGGGGCCTTTTTCCGCCCTGGGGCCCGTTTCTCGAAGGTCCCGAAAAGTTTTCGCACCCGGAGAGCCACAGCAGAATCTCGAAGTTTATGATTACAGAGCTGTTTTATTCACGTATTCTTAATATGAACAGAGGTTCCCTTCATACAAGAAGTTTCAGGGGTATACACGTCTCCGTTCTTAGATACAGATGAACTAAAAATGACCCTACGGGCCCGAAAAGTTTCCGGGGCGTTCGAGAAACAGGCTCCTGGGCCCCGCTTCTCGAAATCCCCGGAAACTTTTCGGGCCCGTAAAGTCATTTTTAGTTCATCTGTGTCCACAAACGGAGTAGTGTATACGCCTGAAACTTCTTGTGTGAAGGGAACCCCTGTTCATATTAAGAATACATGAATAAAGGAGCGCTGTAATCGTAAGGTTCGAGATTTTGTTATGGCTTTCCGGGCCCGAAAGGTTTCCGGGGCTTTCGAGAAACGGGCCCCTGGTTCAAATTGACAAATTCCCCCAGCAGCCTAAGATGGGTCTAAAATGTTCAGTTTCTCGACGGAAGGCCTTATTCAAACCTCTCGAGTGTGCTACATTTGTTTGGAAATCAATCATTTTCGTTGCGTTTTTTTTTTAGTTGAGAAATTCGCGAGCTTAAGCATACTACAAAATAACTATGTTCTCAACACTGAAAAATTCATGCCCAGAGTAACAGTCAGCAGTTCAGTTACATAATTACAGAATTTTCCACGTAAAGATTTATCCATATAAAGGATTGTATGCTTATTAAGAAATGCTGAGTGATTTCCAAAAACTGTTGGTCTTTCAGTGGACGAATTATTTGGGCTTGAGCATTTTAAAAAAAATTGTCAAGTTTGTTTAAATTTACCCGGGTGAAGTGCGTAAAATAACATGATAGTGTAGCTCGTCCAAACGGGAAATATCAAAACCCAGAATCAGATCTTCAAAAGCAAACATTTTTGGACTGCAAAAAAATTAACAGCCAGGTCTCCTGTTTTTAACTCGTAATTAGGTTAGCAAGTTACGAGTTGTAGTGGGTGATCAGATTATGCAAACGAGAGGTCGGTTACTCATCTGTTAAGTTCCGGTGTTGATTTGTTATGTCAGCGGGTAATTCAAGAGTGATAGCATAACCAGAAGGAATCAGATTATGCAAATGAACACGACTAAGCACAGTGAAACAGAATTTCCTAATTGGCCGGACTCTTAGGCTCGATTTCCGCCGCTCTCTCGAGTCTGTCCCGCGGACTCCTTTCCCGAGCAGCGGCTGGTGATCGAGCCTACCTGACTCTCTGACCTATGACCTCTGGTCGAAAGTCTATCGTCAATCGAAAATGTCTCCATTCCTTTCATATTCTTTTCCTAACTCCTTGTAGGTACAAAACTGACAATGCATTTTATTATATTACAGTTTGAAAATGGCAAAAGACTGAGTAAATTTCGGCCAAGTTCAATTAGCGACACACCCAGACCGCGGCCAGCGGGATTCACAGAACCAGAAAGAAAACATACCTCACATCCTCTTGCGCCAGCACAAGTCCAGACAATAATCAGCAGTGATCTTCGGTACATTTTTTATGTCCCTTGATGTCGATCATCCACCAAGTTACAGACTGAAGTGAAGTAAAGGACGCCCAAACAGGTCAGTTGGAAGCAGTCTCATTTCACCTCAGACGAGAGCTTCCCGCAAAATCGCGGCCCGTCCACCGAAATATCGGCAAATCGCTCAGATTTCGCTTAAAGCAGCTAGAATGACTGTACAACGTCTTTGAATTTTTTTCATGGCCCACGGAAGCAGATCAAAGCATAAAAAACAGAACAAAACCTGACATACCTGACGAAAAAACCTCACGTCCACACACGTTTCCCCATTATTGTCCACAATATCACTCATAACGCTTCCTCAATGCCTTCCTTGTTGTTGTATATAACATAAAAGAACGTATATTGTACCCCAGGAAGACTTGAAAAGAGGCAAATCCACAACTCAGGTAGAGTCCCCACATGACTGAAAAGTTCACAACTACCATTTTGTTACGTCACGTTATTGTTTCGCACATCTCCAAAGAAGCATTGCACCGACTGCTCACTGTGGAGGGGGTGGATTGGACAACAATTAAAAAAAGAAGACTCTGGACAGGTACCTCATTCTAATTTCTACTTTGTAGCACTGTCAGTATTTCTGGTGTAACAGTTTTCTATTAGGTTCCAGTTCTCAGATCGCAACACTTTGTGAGCATGCCCCATCGACTCTGCAACCTCAAGGAACCCCTGCCACCCCCTCCCCCCCTTAAAAAAATTCAAGACATATGCACTGGCCCATGGAATTTACCACTTGAGATATTTTCATATTTACATTTGCATTTGAAAAGGCTGCCCGCACTAGACTCNCCTCCCCCCTTAAAAAAATCCTGGATCCAGGCCTGCTGCTTGAACTTGGACCTTTTTGGAATGGCTGCCAAAGTGATGGACTGATTTTTCGCGTTTGGAGTCGAAGTGCTCTTAAATGAAATACTATTTGGTATACAACAAAGATGGGTGTATAACTTAGTCCATCGATATAGCTTTGAAAGCGGCTTTAGACGAAACTTTAGTAAAAATCATGTGCGAGAATTTCAAAGTGATTCCACGAGTTCCAGAATCATAGCTTTCCTCTCTATATGCAGACGAACCTCCACCAACGGCCAACTCTTTCTTTGGTCCCGGCGGACAGTCCAAACATGCACTCTTATATTAACCTCTGCACAACGGTCACCTCTCGACAACGGCAACGGCAACTAAAGAGCGTCCTAACTGCCAAAATAACTTCTCAACAACGGATAGTTAACATAAACTGTGTATAAAAAAAACCCTATGCGGTACGTCGTTGGTCTCTGGTTTTGTTCAGTTTCTGTTTTATTGATATAGTTTGATCGTGTTACGCATATATGTGCTAAAATAAGCATTTTTTTTTAACAAAAAGTGTTGCACCCCAGAAAAAAGGTGTCATGTTACACCCCTACCTCCCCTTGACGGCCAGTTGTTTTTCTGTCCCCACGGCGGCAGTTGTAGAGGTTTTACTCACTGCATTATATTGCGATCGTTACATTCCCATACAAAAGTTTCTATGTATGCTGTTACGCAAGCTCGGGTTAATAATAATGTTCACGGCTCATAAGAAGCTTTGGATACCTGTAAGGAGACGTGGAATAAAGCTGGATTTGGTTTGATTTGATAGAAATGAAGTTCATTTGAGTTATTTTACCTATAAAGTAATGTCGGACATAACACATTCAGTTTTTTTTTGTTGTTAGAACTCTTACTTTTTCAGTAGTTACGATCAAAGGCACGATCAAACCAGCTCAAGTATTCCACGTCAATGATTATTTCTAAGTTAATGATTGCAGTAAAATGTTTGTTGTGTCACGCACTTTCATACAAACTCTTCTAAATCTTTTTGACC